AGGAATTAAAGGAGCCAATAAAAATTTGGTGATCATTTCGAGTAGAATATAGGTCTTCAGGCTTGAGCTTTGAAGTTCTAGTAGCAGTGGTATTTATGTTTCTACAGGATGAGATTGCTAGCCTCCCAATCAGCCCTCCATCTTTACTCGGCTTGTTACTTGCTAAGCGAGGTTTAGGGGTGCGTTGGCCATGGACCGCTTGATAGGTTGGCAAGTGTTCTACCATTGAACCGCTGACCCACGCTCTTGATTTTGCGTACTTTTGTCCGTTGAACTATTTATAGACGAAAGCAGTCAAATGTTGCGCTAAAGTGACCTTGGTAGCCTGTTCGAATTTTTGGGCCAGCTACTATAATATCTACATTTTGCATCCAGTTACTGTTTACCAACATTTATTTATCACCTAAATATGAATTCTAACAGAATCATTTACTCTCGTAACTTTATTAATCATTTACGACCAAATGACTTTCATATTCCAAAGAAACCAAGGAGGAAACATCGTAGTGGTTGGCAGAGAGCTCTCAAACGTACACCAATACACTTAACTACGGTCCCCGTCATAATGAACACAAACTGTCGCTCTCTGCCAAACAAGATAATGTACCTACAATCCTTGATGTCCACTGATACGTATCATAACACCGCCATAATCACATTACAAGAAACGTGGTTGCATGAACTGTATGATGACAACCTTATCTCACTAAAGGACTTTATTTTATTTCGTCAAGACCGTCAATGTTGTAATAAGAAAAATGGTGGTGGCGTTGCAACTTTTATTCACTCCAAATGGTCTGTCTCAAATAACGTCTGCTTCACCTTCTCAAATGACTTCATTGACTGTATTACTGTCAAATGTCGCCCCAAACATCTCCCCAAATATAAACAAATCTATATTACAAACATGTACATTTCTCCTAGTTGCTCTCCATCTGATCTATCTAATTTTGCTGATGAATTCACCATGTTTGCTGCTGCCAACTTCGACAACTCTCTATCCGTTATTACTGGGGACTTCAACACCTCAGATTGCTCCTTTCTTGAAGCTCTTGGTCACACAAACATAGTCAAATTTCCCACTCGACTTGACAAAACACTCGATCTAGTTTTTACTAATGACGAAGGAGTATATGAAACACGTAGACGTTCACCGATACTAAACTCCGATCACTGCATTGTCCGCGTTTTGCCAAAAATATACAGCAAAACACATATTAAAATCTTCTCACACCTGTCTACGAAAGCACAACAAAGATGCTACACATCTGACAACCTACTCAATCTAAGATGCATGTTAAAAGATACCAACTGGGATCTATTCTATGAAAGTACATTAGATGACTCAATCACCAATATAATGGATTATCTTAAGTTCTGCCTCGACATATGCTGTCCCAAACAAACACTGTTCAAACGCCTCGACCGCTTCTCGTCTCCCCATCTCAAACAACTTCGCAGGCAAAAAGAAATGTTATATAAATGCAAAGACAAGTTAGGACTTAAAAAGATTAATGCTCAAATCAAATCTGAAATCAAAAATCTTAATGCTATCTATAACCAAACACTTTTATCATGCAAATCTCCTAACAGCATGTGGAAATTTTTCAATGAAATTACTGGCAATAGTAAGCGATGTAATGTTTTTCCCTCTTGTGATGTTAATGCTCTTAATCTGTCTTTTATACGCTCTCCTTCTACTATAACCACTTCTAACGTTACTAATCTTGTAGCTGATAACTTCCAGGACTTTAACACTCTCGATGTTTTGAAATGTCTTAAAACTCTTAAGCCCTCACATAGTCTTGGCCCTGATGGCATACCTGCATATGTTCTAAAACAATGTGCAGATGCTTTATGTTCTCCTCTAACTAATATCCTAAATGCTTCTTTCTCCGAAAACGTTGTACCTGTTCCATGGAAAGACATTAAAATAGTCCCTGTCCCTAAACCTGGAAATAGCAAGAACGTAAAGTTCAGACCCATTGCCATCACTTCCCCGTTTCTAAAGCTCATGGAAAAACTAGTACTTCTTAAACTCGAACCCTCCCTTAAAAGCTTCGAAGACCCCAAACAATTTGCCTACAGACAGGGTAGGAGTACTTTAGACGCTGCAGCCGTCTTACACAACAGTATTGTCTCATCATTAGACAAAGGTGCCAAATATGTCCGCTGCACGTTTCTTGACTTCACTTCTGCTTTCGACTCTGTACCTAGATGTCTCTTGCTAAATAAGCTCTCCATGACACAAACCGAGTCCTGGGTCACTAACTGGTTGCATTCCTACTTTTCAAACAGAATGCAGTACACCGTATACAAAGGTGAATCCTCCTCTGCTGTGCTCACTGAAGCTGGTGTCCCCCAAGGTGCTGTACTCTCCCCACTTCTCTTTTCTTCTTCTACATGACCTACCATCTTCAAATGACATTAACTTTGTCAAATATGCTGATGACCTAACTGTATCTTTACCTGTCAAATGTCAAAGTGACTGCTCTAAACTAAATGGCTTCTTATCAGAAATCAGCCAATGGTCCAAGGAAAACGGTCTCACCTTAAACCCCTCCAAATGCCAAACAGTTAATTTCACCTTTAGGCATAAATCTGACCTAAACAAACTGGTTAGCACTCACGAGGTGTGCAACATAGATGCTTCTGAAATAGAAACCAAGTCGGAAATTAAATACCTAGGCGTCATTCTATCTTCTGATCTTTCCTGGTCGTCTCATATCTTGACGATTTCTAAGAAAATATTCCGTCTTACCTTCTACATCAAGAAGTTAAGACATTCTGGTGTAACCCAACCCTTACTCCTACAATTCGTCAACTCCCGTATTCTGCCTATTATTCTCTATTGTTCCCCTTCAGTTTTTCCTGGGTTACTGAGAAAAGACTATACATTATTACGCAGGATGTTAAAGGTTGTCAGTGGGGTTAGCAAAATGCCACTTAACCAGCTTGTTATTAGTCTGTTCGACAGGCACTTCGACTCATGTGAAAAATGGGCTAAATCCATTTTATCTAACACCCTCTTCCTTCACAACTCTCCCCATGTTTCTCATCAGGCAGGCAGGACCAGAAGCCTACATAGAAAACTATATGCTCGCGCTAATAAGTACTAAAACTCAACCATAGCCTACTTAGCTCGTGTTTTGTGCGATAAAGAAAGCATTAGGCGTGATACCTATAACTTATTAAATAGTCAGTAGAACAATTGGATCTCGTCTTTCGAATTCATATCTTTTATAGGTACAACGTTTTCTTTCTTTTCTTTCTCTCTTCCTCTCTTTTTTCTCTGTTATGTGCCCCTTTGTTTCTCTCTTCTGCTTACACCAGTAAATATGCTAGCATCTACTTTTCTAGCACCTTCAAACACTTTGTTTAATTTTAGCTATGCTACCGATGTGGTGAGAGCAGGCTGCTAGCCGTGCGGTTGACATTAATCTACGTCAATGTCTAGGTCACTAATATGGGCCGTGAGAAAATATGAACAAGGCTGTTTCAACAACCAATCACAGCAAACTTAAACGTGGGCAAATATGATTCGCAGATAGATGGCTCCTTTTTCCGAGGAACTCGAAAACAACCAATCAGAATAATGCGTTTGTCTACTTGACTAGGCTACAATAATGTATGTGAAATTTATATAAATACGTGTTGATTTCCGTAATAAAACGATCTGTTTCCTGGCCCTTGTCTTCTGTTGTTACACCGACATGCCAATATGTTGTTGTCAAAACTAACTGAGATTACCCTTAATCTATGTAGAATTTTATTTTATTGTTAATGTACTAACTGGATGCAATATTGTAGTAAAATGCTGAGAATTCCATTCTGTATCGCAAGTACTGTTTTGGAATAAAGATATTATCATCATCATCATCATTATTTTCTTTGGCACAGCTGTTCATCGGATTTTTATCTTGATACAGTGGGATTAAAGCACAAACTCTTTCCGTGTTATATCTATTCCATACATTTTAAATCTTACAATTAACTTATGTAGGCAGCATCTTTTCAGCTATAGATGCGCAATGCAGATGAGGATATCAAAATCAGGATCTGAAAGACAAGAGGTGTCTTCATCACAATGAAATCGATTTGGAAATCTACTTCACTCATCCTAAAGAACAAAATTAGATATTTTCAACACCAATTTTAAGTCATTCAGTTCTTCTATATGTGTCAGAAACGTGGCGCATTATGGTTAGGATTCCTAGCAGGCCACCGAGGACTTTTATCAGAATCTGCCTTCTCTGGCTCCATAGTAAAAACCAAATAGCCGAAAAGAATTAGTGACAAGAAGTGACACTGGAAGAGAACCATTTAAGAATCTATTTTTCAGTAGATATTTCTATGAAAACGGAGGTGGCTTTTTCAAGTATTGGTTTTGTAGGGATTCTTTTTGTTTGATCCATTGGAGGATTTCATCATGAGCTGATATCAGTTAGAGAACTACTGGAAAACCACCAGGGAATACTGGACAGCTGTTTCGTCAGCCTAGTTTTGGACTCTTCAGTAGTACGCACCCACCACCAACATTTCAGCCCAGAAACTTCTGGTTACATTGGGATGGATTGGATACACAATGTAGTGACCTTAGATGGGACGTGAGTGGGAAATGATGACTTGAGTGTCTGAGAGTGACACGGAGAAGATCGCGTAAGGAGGCGATCAGAGCTTATGGGCAGTCGTGGAGGCAGCTCCAGAGGACTGCAGAGTAAAGCATAAAATGGAGGTGTGTTGTTGAAACCCCATACATCAGACACCACATCAAGAACTCTGGGACAACATATGAATGGAAGTACAACGTAGATGTGGTTGAAACACTTTGTAAACAACAACATTCTCAATAGATGAAAGACACAAGAGTTATACACATGAAACCGGTAGGCTATTAATGTTCAGCGGCCACCGTTTTTTGAACTAACACCTTTTTCAGAATTCCACTAGGAATAACAACAATGATATACATGATAAGTGTTTTTCGTCTGTTAACTTACCCATCATAACTCCATGGACCAAATTTTAGAACACATTTTTGTCGATCAAATGGAAAATATTTAATATCCACAGAACATGTACTTTTAAATATACTCATTGGATTCCATAGAACATTTCCGTTGGGACTTATTCGTGCATCACAAGGTCTTCGTTCATCAAGTCTTTCATCAGCACTGAGGTTTAAAAATAAGGATATAAAAAAAAGGATTACATTAGATAAACGTCTTTTTTATATTAATCCTATTAATCCGATGTGAGAAATAAATACGTACATACGTGCTAAAGAACATCTAAAAGACGAATTAATGAACAAAGAGTATTCATCTGGATAAATTCGTCGTCAGCTTCTATATTTCTATGACTATAATACTAAAAGAATTATTATCATTATTAACAAGTTGAGAAAATCACCTCAAAGAAAGTTTAATGCTAGTAGGCTTTAGATCTTATTTTCCACACAACCGGTTATGTAGAAACTTCATACATTTATTGCCGGTCCCCCCTCCTCTTATGCATTTGAATAAAGTAGGAAAAACAGTGATTTGCGCAGAATAATATGGTACCATCATTGTTTTATTTCGTTGCCTTCTCATTAGCTCATCTGCTCACAGCCTGAATAAATTATTAGTAAGTATGATAGAGAAGATTTGTAGCTCAAGTGGATGATTTTGATGTGGTTTTGTTCTCTGAGCTGGATGGTTAGTTTGCGAAGCTTTCATCGCCTTACTGGGTGACATCTTCAGCGCATACTTCAATTTGTACAGAGAAGCTTTAACGTACTTGCAAATTTTACATGATGTCAGTTGACAGGAGTTTCCGGAATTAGTGTACAGTACTCAGAAAATTAAATATATACATGTATAGGGAGTTTAAATTTAAACAATGTAAATGTATGCATACAATGGTATAGGAGTTACGTAATAAAGACGAGAGATGCGTAAGATGATGAGTAACTATAGATTGAGTGACAATGTACTGAGTTTAACTCAAATTATACTAACAAGAGACAAGCAAAATACACCATATCGGAAGGAGGGTGTAAGGTTAAAGCCAAATATTACATAATCAAACAAGAGGGTGAAATCATCCAGTTACCAGGATGGGCAAGGAAAGACTGATGCTAACCGCTTCTTTCTGAACACATAAATCAGGTTTCAGGTGTTTGCTGGAGATTGCTTTGGCAAGCCTGAGAAGAACTGGGCCGTTTTGTCTATTAATAATTTTAGGCGAATTCACAACTTCCACCTCATGACCCGTATCAAGAAGATGCATAGTAATGGCTTTATTCTGCTTTATTCAAACAACCGGTTATGATTCTGAAACTAAGAGACAAAGTACCTAGGCTGGCCACCTGTTCTTCTCTTTATCAATTCAACTGCTCATGCGGTGCTAAGTATATTAGATGCTGCTCTGAGAACTTAATTTGTCATGCTTAGGAACATCAACTATTAGATCACCTCGTCCGAACAGTCCACAAAGCTAACAGCATTGAAGAGTCTTTCTCTGCAGATAAAAAAAGCCATTACAGTTCACTAAAATCAACCGCAGCTATGTGTGCAACAGAAACAGGTCCAACCAGACACTAATGCTACCCTGCCCTGCTGTCAAACCTATAAATTCATCACTTCTGTATTATCTTCGTCAACTTATTTGGTATTCATTTCAGCGTTATGTTAGAGCATATTATCCCTCTCTTGCTGGTGCTTTCGAAATGTAATCTGTTAATATTATTCTTGATTCAATGTAATTTAAAAAAAGCATTAATGTTAATTCGTGGATGGTGACTAGCAGTGGAATCCAGGTTGCGTACTTTGTCCTATTTGGGACCCGTCACCTGGATGTACCTGCAATCCCCAGTCAGTGGGTGATCATGTGCCCACCAAGGCTCAGACCCACTGGCCATAGCTTCAAACACCAAAGCGTTATCCACTGGACCATTTGGGCGACGACAGCCACCTCTTCTGCAATGGGTCATATTAATTATTTAATTGAATTCCAGAATTTCCCGTCGATTGATTGAACCGAAGTGCTCGGTCTCAGGTTGACATGTCCCAAATAGGATGAAATGCTCATCCTGGATTCCACTGCTAGTCACCACCCGACAATTAAATTCTAATTAAATGATCAGACATCGCCTAAGCATCTGCACAAGAAGCCGACAGACATGTCAATCTGAGATCAAGCACTTCGGTCCAATCAATCGTCGAGAAAATCTAAACCTGAATTAAATAGGCATTAATGTTGTTAATAATAATAATATGCCTCTTAATTATTACTGTCATATAACTGTAGAATCTGATAATGAATTTATCAAAAAGAATATTCTCTATTCATTATTCAGTCCTTTTAAATACGTACACATAAATATGCGTGTATGGAAGGTCATAACTCAACCAAGAAATATAACAATGTGTAGAAAGAAAACAATCTTTGTGCGAAAAATTTCAGCGTATGTTTGTTCACACGGTAAAATCAGTGTGTTTTTCTGTTTGTTTGTATATATTTGAGCAGTAAGGTTAACTAATATTAGGAAAATTCTTATCCTATCAAAATCTCTGATATCACACAGAACCATGGAATCAACAGATTGCTCACTATAAGATATATAACTCAAGATAAAAATAAGAAAGAAATATAAATTGTTTTTGATAAATTTTCTTAATTTTCCCAGAATCATTTCTAAAGACCGGAAATACCCATTTATTTAGTCATGAAGAAAATTAAATAAAAATCAGCGAGGAAAATTTCCCCCATCAGCGAAGTCAATATTCAGTGGTTGTACAATTTTATTTCTGTTTACTAAAGACGTATAGCGAAGGAGTGCTAGTTACTCAAGAGTGGTTTCTCAAGCGAAGAAAAGGAATTACGTAATATTCAGTGACATGATGTAAGTAAGGATTTGTCATTTGATAAGGTGAACAAGGTGAAAATTTTCGTGAAATGGGAAGCAAAGTGAATCGGTGCTGACTTAACAAGTGGCAGTCAACTCTCTATCTCAACTTCATCGACTTTGAAAGGATCTTCGACAGGGTCGATCGAGAGGTGATTTAGAAAATAGGGTAAGAAAACACTGGCTGCATACTATCTTCAATGATTCTCTTGATTGCGGTAGACTGGATAATGGGACAGACAGCGGGCCAGGCAACGACGAAACAGGCATAAAATGCACTCACACAAAAATCTTGGAGGATCTGGAATTCACTGATGATATATGTCTGATTTCCTACAACTGAAAGATATGCAAGTGAAAAGTAACATGTTGGCGACAGAAGAAGAAGCATCAAAGATAGGACTTCAGGTGAACGTAAATGGAACAGAGGTGATTAAGATTCCTAACCGAGCAAAAACCACATCAACAACAACAGGCAATAATCAGCAAAATGGGAGGAATCTGAAAGAAGCAACCTCATTTACCTACCTATCTGGGAAGCATCGTTTCAACTACAGGCGGAGCTGACGAGGATGCAAAAATGAGGATCAGAAAAGTAGGGCAAGCATTCATTATTCTCAATTCTGAATGGAGGTCAACAGCACTCACATCAAAAATAATATCGGGATTTTTAACTCTAGTGTAAAGTTAGTGCTAAAATACGGATCAGAGACTTGGTGCGCCATAAAGAGCACCTCAAACAAACTAAGACCTTCATCAACAGTTGTCTTCGCCCAGTACTCAAGAACAGATGGCCGGCCATAAAAGATCAGCAATAGGCAAGGATCTCTGGCAACGAGCGAACCAACCCAGCAGGGACCGATTGTGTAACAAATAAGTAGGAAGAAATGGAGGTGGAGTGGCTATACTCTGAGGAAACCATAAAGCCCTCGAGTTGAACTCGAATGGGAAGCGGCGAGTTGGTTGTCCAAAGGTGACTTGGAGGAGGTCATGTGACGAGGAGATGAAAACATGTGGGCAGACATGGAGCCAGGTGAAAACTCTAGCAGAGAACCAAACGCAATGGAGACGCGTGGCTGAAGCCCTATGTTCCTCTAGGAATTAAGGGAAACAATAATAGTAATTAACAAGTGTAAAGAAGGTGAGAAAAGAATCCAAGTAAAATGTAGAAAAGAAACATGTAAAAGTTTTCACTAGTTTGAAGAGATCTGATTTACTTCAAATGTGACCATGGATTCATATCACTTAGATGACTATTAGGAACAGCTGCTTCATCCTAGTTTGGGACCCATCATCAGAACTCAGCCACCGGGGCTATCTGATTGGTTCCCAGTGAGTGCATACTCTACAAGATTACCTTGTAAACCGCAGGTAGTGGATTCGAACGTTGGTGGGTGCGTATTACTAAAGAGTTCCAACATAGGACGAAACAGCGGTCCAGAACTCCCTCTTTATTTCCAATGATGCCCTAACTAATATAGATCCATGAGCAAACTTGAAACATATCAGAGTGATAATAATGAATTACTTACTAAAATAGAAGCAGACAAATATGGAAGAATTTAAGAATAAACTATTTCTGCCTACAAAGCTCTTGATTATATTGCGTAATTGGTTGCGCCTTCGTCTAGTATGTGTTGAGACCTAGCAACTGTTGGACAACATACCCTTACCAGTGTAGAAAATGTCAAAAGATGACTCAATAATAGAATGCTTTGCGTCCTCAGGTAACATAAGTACAACTGTACAACCTCTGAGATTACTTCATCGATAAAGAAAATGTTCTTCCTTCAATTATCTCTTACGTTTCTTTAAAACCGCTTCGATCTAGACTTATTTCACCGTAATCTACCTCAGAACTGGGCATATTCAAGCTACACAACCTCTTTTTTAAAATGGAAGTTTATTAGCAGTATCACTGAAGACAGTGTCTTCTGGGTTGCCATGTTTATACACAACTGACTGTGTCATCATACTTAATGATGGTTTGGTCTTGATGAAAGAAGGCCCATTCTCTAGTTTTTCAAATAAAATGTCACCTAGAATTGGTCCTAGTGGAGACCTCATCGCCACATTATCAATTTGTCTGTTTAGTTCCTAATTAAAAAAAATGAACACCCATTGTGTATTTCGAAAGAAGCTCCTTAATAAAAGATGTAAGAATGCCGACATCAGTGTTTTGTCTGATGAGTTCTTCGTAAACGAAGTCCACTGTTTCCACAAGCGGTAGTGAATAAGGAAAATAAGTCACATGATCAAAGACCAGCAGGTTCCCAGTTTATT